AGCNTTTTTATAACACTTTCAAGGTCATATATGATGTTACCAAAGTTAATTTTGGAGGACTTGGTAAAGGTCCTAATTTTGGATTTTATGCTTTCGCACATGGGCTTATCAGTTGACCTTGAGATTACATTTCCCACCCGGAAAATTCTTAACTGTCATTGGTTGATGAGTTATTTAAGTACGCTGCTATTTTTGTGGCTCTTCCAAGGATGTCTCTATCATGTATGAATGAACTCGATAATGTGCGCTTGTCAACCTCGATTTGCTGGGTGCTTGTAGAATACATTTTCTACGCCTTAACAAGACTTCTTCGTCTTATTAGCCGGGCCAGTTACAAATGGATTAGAATAGTCTATCGTGTCACTCTATCATTGATCTACGCTCCGTTTACCGAGCAACGTGAACTCGTATTAGTTTCAAGCATATCGATTGACGAGCATAACAGTTAAGAAGTACAATATAATGAAGGTGGATTTACTAAGAACCAACTATTTCCATAGTTAAAATCACGAATCGCTCTTTGCTGCTAGAGTACCATTAGAAAACTAATAAGCGCTGAATGGCTGTTTCGTCCTTTTTTGGGACTCTTCAGTTCGTGCTATCATTTATGAAAATAACACAGCCCCCAAAAATTCCAATAATCGATAACAATCATGTGATCACTAATAATCAGCTTCACAATACATTCCTACATTTCTAGTCAGCAGTCATGACTATTGAAGTTGAATTCAAGTCGGCTAGGAAACTGTTATTGAAAGTTGAGTAACATCGGAGATTAAATGAATTGAGAAATTAGCACCTTTGGATTCTGGCTTAGTGGTCTATAGGTCAAGCGTTTGTTTGCACGACCAAAGGTCCTATTTTCGATTCCTGGTGGCAGGGTCATAGATGCGCAATAACTGATGAGTCCGATACTAGGATGAAATGGCCGTCACGACCACCTAATTTGTGACACCACGGATTTTCCTTAGTTCTTAGTGAACTTAAAGTTTAAATTCATAATCTAAATTTGAATTTAAAGTGTTACATAAAAATAATTAAATTTTGATTGACAGTTGAATTTTTAAACTTAAATCAGAGAATTAAATGTTATATTTTTGATTAACTCCTTTCCCTCCTAATTAACTAACGTTTTCTATGGTAATGTAATTATTCTTCGCATTATTTTTCCTCAGATCTAGTTTATTCTATTGTTCTACGTTGGTGTTATCACTGAAGTTACATTACCTACTGACTCGCTTACGCCTGTTACCCACAACAGAGCATAGGCTGCCGAGCAGTATTCTCCATCCTACACTGTCTTATGCCTTCCTTTCTAGTGTGGTGCGCGCTACTTATAAGTAATATATGACGCGAATGAAAAGGTAATGTCTGGCAGCAGAAGATGCGGGAAGATCAATAAAGGAAGAGTGGGAACACAATGGAATTTGTATGAAGTAGCATGAATAGTGAAATGTCAGACAATGGATTGATGATGGATTGAAGATTTGCAAATGAACGATTTACGATATGGTTTTCCGATTTTACTGAGTAACTCTGTAATTTTCGTTAAATACAATTCGGTTACCCTCACCTGTGTTCTCCTTCACTACACTAGTTCTGTCCGATTTTTGTTCATTCTTCGAATGTCTGTCTCAATTTCTCTATGTAAAGTGTTCTTTGGCTTTCCTCTTTACCTTTTATCTTGAGACTTCAAAGTGAGGGCTTATCTTGTGACGCATTTGGATGCTTTGCATAGTATGTGTCCCATCCACCTCGGGCGCTTCCTCTTGATTCCCTCCTCCACGTGAATCTTGTTTGTTCTGTCCTATAGCAGGTTGTTGCTATTTTTGTCTGACCAACGGATCCGAAGTATTTTGCGTAGACATCTGTTAATAAATATTTGAATTTCATGGTTGATGGCTTTGCTAGTTTTCCATGTTTCCGCCCCATACGGTAGGAGTATCTTGATATTTGTATTGAAAATTGTGACTTTGGTGTGGGTTGATAGTTGTTTTGAGTTCCTGCTTATCATTAACTGAAGAAACTCTGTCGTCATTTGCCGATCCGCGCCTTTACATCTGATCGAATCCACCTTGCTCGTCAATGATCTTGCCCATATACGTAAAGATTTTTACATCCTCCAAGTCATCTACATCAATAGTGATTTGGTTTATATTAAAGCTGCATAGTTTCTCATCAAAAGTTCAATCTATCTAATCCATGCTGTTCCGCTCTTGTATCGTTAAACTTTAAATTTCGCGCAAAAAATACACTTAAGATGTCATTATCGTTCGGATTAGTTCATTCATTATCCATTATTTATCTACAAATCTTATGTATATTTTTTGGGGCACAGTTTTGGAGGTTTGCGTTTTTACACATTTGAAATCATCAATCAATCATTGTTAGACCACCATTAGAAGAAACCTGGAAGAAGCACTGGACGGACGTTTCGTCCTAGAATGGGACTCATCAGTGGCAGTGCGCATCCACGACTCCTGCTCCTCGCAGGATTCGAACCCGGGACCTTTGGCATTGTAGGCGAACGCCTTACCATCGGACCACTGGGCCGGTGTTAATGTCTAACTCTGATTGATCTAGGGATTTTGCGCGACCTCGCCCAATTTGTCTTTGGTAGTTACTGCCTACACACGACAGGGTTGAACTCCACTGGTCACGTCTTCTCACCACTAGAACTCCGTGGAATTTCCTCACAAAGAAGCTAGTCACTAGTGAGTAAGCACTGTTACGATATTTTGGGGCACAGTTTTGGAGGTTTGCGTTTTTACACATTTGAAATCATCAATCAATCAATCATTGTTAGACCATATATAGACGATTTTCTTAATTACAAAGAATCATTTATATCTTTCTCTCTATATATTCAATCAATTCTTTTTTTTCACTTCTAACAAACGATTTTCATATCATATAGAAAAAAAAGTGTTTGAATGAACTATTGTCAGTCATGTTAAGGTCATTATTGATTTTTTTTTTCCTGTCTGTTTGTTTGTGTGTTTGTGTGTTCACAATCTCACTCACACTGATTAAAGGACATCAGTGAAAAAAAACCATTAATCTAATTTCTTTTTAAAATTGTCTAAAAGTATATTTTATTTTATTTTTTTTCAGGAACGTACTTTTAAATTGTGAAAATTTAAATGAACTATTTAATAGTACATTAAATGTATGTATGTATGTTTGTGGTTTGTATATTGTACTATTTGTTCTGCCAAATGATTGATTACGCATGAATTGTACTATGAAATGATGATCTCCGTTTATGGTAGGTAGATCAAAGTTATTCTGACTCAAATATACTACTTATTTACTTACGCCTGTTACCCCCAATGGAGCATAGGCCGCTCACCAGTTTTCTTCAACCAACTCTGTCCTGGGCTTCCTTCTCCAGTTCTGTTCAATGTTTGTTCATTCTTCTCATGTCTTTCTCTCTTTCTTGGCGTAGTGTGTTCATTGGCCTTCCTCTTTTCCTTTTGCCTTGAGGGTTCCATGTGAGGGCTTTTCGCAATGTATCTCTTATCCACTTCCACTGCTTCGTCCTGATTTACTCCTCCACTTGAATCTGTTTTGTTCTCTCCCACAGTACGTTGTTGCTGATGGTGTCTGTTCAACGAATCCGAAGTATTTTTTTCGTAGACAACTGTGAATAAACACTTGTAGCTTCTGAATGATGGCTTTGGTAGTTCTCCAGGTTTCCGCTCCATACAATAGAACTGTCTTGATATATGTACTGAAAATCCTGATTTTGGTTTAGGTTGAAAGTTGTTTGGAGTTCCAGATTTATTTCAATTGTAGAAATGCAGCCCTTGCTTTGCCAATCCGCACCCTCACATCTGCATCCGATCCACCTTTCTCGTCGATGATGCTGCCCAGATATGTAAAGGTGTTAACATCCTCCAAGGCATCTCCATCAAGAGTGATTTGGTTGGTGCATGTTGTGTTGCATCGGAGAATGTTGCTTTTTCCTTTATGTATGTTGAGACCTACTGCTGCAGAGGCTGCTGCTACACTGGTCGTCTTCTCTTGTATTTGTTGTTGCGTGCGCTACAGAAGAGCCAGATCATCTGCGAAGTCCAGATCGT